ATTTCACTCAATGGGTTTTAGTTTAATTGTTTCATTTGGGCTTCCAAATCATTGGGATCTATATTGAGCTTTGTAAAACATTTTGGATCTTGCTTTTATAATTTGAACTTTGTTATCCCTAATGTCTTACACTTAATGGGTTTTAGTTTAATTGTTTCGTTTGGGCTTCCATATATGTTTATTTAAAATAATAATATAAATTAGGAATAATAAAGTTAAAAATAGTGTATCATATATATAATAGATGGATTGCTCTCACAAGAGCTTACCACATAAGCACTTCTTATTTTGATACTTCAATTATTTATTAAAAAAATATATAGAAAATATCAGATGGCCGCTTTCACCTCTTTGTTTCCTCCCTTTGAAAATAAAAAATTTAGGTCAATAGATTTTAATTTTTCAAATAGCGATAATTCCAAAGCGGGTTTCAAAAAATTCAAATTCGATCTCTTCGTCTTTGAATAGTTTGATCCTTATCCTATATAACAAAAGAAATAAAAAATCATTCGTCATGTCTTACTTTCATATTCTCACTAACCTTAATATGTCATTAGATACTTTTCATCTCTAGCCGTTTGCAATTTGTTGTTGTAGTGATTCTCTACACCCAAGATTGAGGGACATGATGGCCATGCATAGCTTGAATTCAAACAGCCTCAAGAAAGAGTTGAGAAGAAAAACAGAGACATGGGCGCTGCTCAGTTAAAATGTAGTATGTAACTTTTATCTTTCGTTTCGATCAAATTAGTTTCAAAGTAAACTAGTATATTTAATTTTAAAAGATGCCTATATTTTTTACTTTAATTTTCGTTGAGGATATTTTTCATAATTTTCCATTTATTTAATAAATGAAAAAAGAAAAAAAATTACCTTCCACATCCGAATAGTAATTTCGAATTGCATGCCTCCAAAAATTGACGTTTGATCGATTGCACCTTCGATCGCAATTCTTTTGCTGGTTTGAACAAAACCGGCGGCACGAAGGTTGTAACCCCCTGTCAGGTTGTAGGCAATCCATCTACGACCCCATAACCAAATATATATAAGTTAAATTTTATTAACAAATTGAAATTTTGAAAAGTAGAATAAAACAAATTTACAAACATACCGTCCAATATATGAAAAACCGGGGCTGGTAGTCTTGATATACATACGGATAAAGCTATATAATAATCAAAACTTAAAGTTATTAGTCATAATTTATACATAACGCAGAGGAAAGAGAATTACAGGATTTTCAAACACAAGAATAAATCAAACAACAAATTTAACTACATGTAGATTATTTTGTAGAAATTGTCGCTAAATGATGTCTAATATTTTTTTTCTTGAAACAGATCAACAGAAAAAAATGATGTAGTTTTCAAATTTCAGACTTATTTTAGTGTGTTTTTACAAAGTTCTTC